TCCCGGGAGCTGGGAAGATTGATAGGTGTGGCTCTCGTTCACCAGAAGGGCTCAAAGAGCCAAGGCCGCCTTTGTATTTGGAAGACACTCTGTGGATAGAGCATGACTGAATCCATTTGTGAGTGGGCCCAGAGACAACTATTCAATTAAACCTTTATTTAATATCATTAAAGAATCACTTAATAATAGTTGACTCTGGACGGGCACAGTGGCTCATGCCTATAATCCCAGCACTTTGGGAGGCTGAGGTGGATGGATCACCTGAGGTCAGGAGTTTGAGATCAGCCTGGACAACATGGTGAAACCCAATCTCTACTAAAACTGCAAAAATTAGCCAGGTGTGGGGGCATGCACATGTAGCACCAGCTACTCAGGAGGCTGAGGCAGGAGAATTGCTGGAACCCGAGAGGCAGAGATTGCAGTGAGCCGAGATTGCGCCATTTTACTCCAGCCAAGGCCAACAACAGCGAGACTCAGTCTCAAATAACATTAATAATAATAATAATAATAATAATAGTTGACTCGGCTCATCTAGATAAAAGAAATAAACATTTTATAAATGTGGCAAAGAAAATTTCAGCATTTAGAGGCTGTTTTATTTTCTGGTTACTTGGTATAGAAGTTAGCTGAAGGGTGTGTAAGAAATAGTTGATGTCTTAAAAAAACATTTAGAAGTCATGACTGCTGTTAATTTTTTTTTTAATGTTTGGATTAGCAAAGCTAGCTCATGTCTGAGGCAGTCTGACGGTGCAATATCTGAAACTGGGTAGCTGTCCCCGGAGGTATCATGGAGACTTGTGTTGTGGCCTTGTGAGAGCTCCTGCAATTGTCCTGTAATAAACCTGGCTGTGCTCTTTGTTCACCCCAACTTTGTTTAAAAGAAAAAAAGGGGCCGGGTGCGGTGGCTCACGCCTGTAATCCCAGCACTTTGGGAGGCCAAGGCGAGCGGATCACGAGGTCAAGAGATCGAGACCTTCCTGGTCAACATGGTGAAACCCCGTCTCTACTAAAAATACAAAAAATTAGCTGGGCATAGTGGCGCGTGCCTGTAATCCCAGCTACTCAGGAGGCTGAGGCAGGAGAATTGCCTAAACCCAGGAGGCAGAGGTTGCAGTGAGCCGAGATCGCGCCATTGCGCTCCAGCCTGGGTAACAAGAGCGAAACTCCGTCTCAAAAAAAAAAAAAAGAAAAGAAAAGAAAAAGAAAAAAAGACTAGCTAATCAAGAATTTTTAAATAGGCTGTGTGTGGTGGCTCATGCCTGTAATCCCAGCACTTTGGGAAGCCAAGGTGGGTGGATCACCTGAGGTCAGGAGTTCAAGACTAACCTGGCCAGCATGGTGAAAACCCATCTCTACTAAAAATACAAAAAATTAGCTGATATGGTGGTGGGCACCTATAATCCCAGCTACTCAGGAGGACGAGGCAGGAGAATTGCTTGAACCTGGGAGGTGGAGGTTGCAGTGAACCGAGATCACGCCATTGTACTCCAGCCTGGGCAACAAGAGCAAAACTCTGTCTAAAAAAATTTTTTTCTTTTAAATATCTGCCTAACATTCAATGATGGATATGATTTGGGTCAAGACATAAAGAAGGACAAACTTCTTAACTCATCTTTATTATATTTACAGCATATGAACCTGACTTTAGAGTTTTGGGCACCTTTAAACATTATAAAATCCCATAGTGACAGCTTGCTGCGATCTTGTAGGAGAGGCCTTTTGCTACTTGATTTTGACTGAGGAAACATTAACCTGATTTCTTGGTACCCCAATTAGGCTTTACAGTTTTCTGCTTACTTTACGTCTCCTGTATTTTCTTTGTATCAGGAAGTACTTTTCTATTCCACACGATTTGACATTACAAGTAGAAGGGTCACCATCCTGTAATGGGCACATGAGCCCAAACTCTGAGTTCATGAAGCCTTGCAATGATCTCACCTCTAGCAGGATGGACAAATTTCTGGCTCTTACTTTCCTTTCCAATGAGGTCAGTCACTTGGTTTGCTTTGGATTGCTCAGAATTCACCTTTATTTGTGCCATCAGGCTTCTAAAGCACTCCTAAACCTGATTATTAGGTTCCTGTGCTATTCGGAGTATAAAGAAACTAAAAAAGACAGTGGTTCCAGCAATATGGAAGTGTTTCTCTTCTCTCTCACACCACTATGAAGTGGGCCAGTGGGCTGTGCTCCATGAGGTCATTCAGGGATCTGCAGCACATGACTTTCTTCTCTGGGTCTCCAGTTTTTGCCACTTCCCAGCTGGTAGGAAGAGGGAAAGAGAGGACACAATTGTGTCTTATAATCAAGAGATGCTGATGTTCAACATATCTTCTTCTTATTTTATTTGTTTGTTTATTTATTTATTTTTTAATAAGACAGAGTCTTGCTCTGTCGCCCAGGCTGGAGTGCAGTGGCATGATCTTGACTCACTGCAACCTCTGCCTCTTGGGTTCAAGCGATTCTCTTGCCTCAGCTTCCTGAGTGGCTTGGACTACAGGTGCTACCACCATGTCCAGCTAATTTTTGTATTTTTAGTAGAGACAGGGTTTCACCATATTGACCAGGCTGGTCTTGAACTCCTGACCTCATGATCCACCCACCTTGGCCTCCCAAAGTGCTGGGATTACAAGTGTGAGCCACTCTGCCTGGCCTGTTTATTTATTTTTGAGACAGGATCTTACCCTGTCACCCAGGCTGGAGTGCAGTAGTTCAATCATGGCTCACTGCAGCCTCAACCTCTCAGACTCAAGTGATCCTCCCACTTCAGCCTTCCAAGTAGCTGGGATTACAGGCATACACCACCACGCTTGGCAAAGTTTTGTATTTTTTGTAAAGAAGGGGTCTCGCCATGTTGCCCAGGCTGTCTTGAACTCCTGGCTCAAGCAATCTGCCCACCTTAGCTTCCTAAAGGGTTGGGATTCCTGGCATGAGCCACCATGCCCTGGCCACTTCCCCTCATTTTAATGGCAATGTTTTTGTCATGTGGTCTCACCTCACAGCACGAGAGACTGGGAAATGGAGTCCCAAGTGAGCAGCCACATGCACAGCTAAAATTCTGAATTACTAGGGAAAGGCAAAGGGACATATTTTGGAGAGAAATCTAGCATTCTACCCCAGAAACTTAACTCCAAAACTATAAAGATTTTAACCAGAATAATTTCTGAAAGGTTTGCAGCAGCTTCCTTGCTAGAAAACAAAACAAAACAAACAACAAAAACCCTCTTTCTTTAGAATGCAAATGCTTTGTAAGTAAAGGATGATGTTTTATAATGTAGACATTACTAGTTATGTCACACTCTTGCAACAAATATGAAATTTGAGCTTAGAGGTGTCTTTCTCCTTATTAGGAATTTGATTCTTGGCATTTTTTTGGGAGATTTATGAGAAGCATTGGGTAAGACGACTAAGATAATTGGGGGTTGTCCTGTGAAGGCTAGTTTGGGAGGGCTTGGGTATATTTAGCACAGAGGAGAGAACAGCAAGAATAACAAATGAGATTGTTATTTTCAGGCGTTGAGGAGCTGGAGGTAGGAGATGGCATGGCCCTCTTTTTTGCTTCTCCTAAGAGTAGAATTGCGAATAGAGGACAGAGGTTATTAGGCTTTAGCTTGACATTTTATTTCACTGTATTAGTCCATTCTCATGCTGCTATGAAGAAATACCCGAGACTGGGTAATTTATAAAGAAAAGAGGTTTAATTGACTTACACAGTTCTGCACGGCTGGGGAGGCCTCAGGAAACTTGCAATCATGGTGGGAGGCACCTCTTCACACGGAGGCAGGGGAGAGAATGAAAGCCAAGCTAAAGGGGAAGCCCCTTATAAAACCATCAGATCTCGAGAGAATGCACTCACTGTCACAAGAACAGTATGGGGAAAACCACCCCATGATTCAATTACCTCCACCTGGTGCCCTGCCCTTGACGTGTGGGGATTATTGCAATTCAAGGTGAGATTCGGATGGGGACACAGAGCCAACCATGCCAGTTGTCAGTCATCTAGTGAGCTGACTTAGCTCTTTGACACTGGATATTGTATATTCCTAGTTTCTGAAGTTGTTCACTCAGGTTTTAGACTTGAGAGGAATTGTTTAAGTAGAACTAAGACTTAGTTCACACAGGGAACTTTCCTCATAAGGAGAAAAAAAATTTATTCTGTATCCATCTTGTCTGTCTTATTCCCTCAGTAGGGAGTATTGTCCAAACATAGTAATGCTGTCAACCATATTGCTTGTATAGTAATCTATCATGGGATTTCTGAGGCTTTCAAATACAACACTTGCAAATTTTCTATGCCTTGCATAGTAATGCTGTCAACCACATTGCTTGCAGAGTACTTTCTGAGGCTTTCAAACGCAAAACTTGCAATTTTCTATGCCTTGAAGTTGGTCCTCAGGCCTGACTCAGATTCTTCATAAAGCTCTTGACTTCCTCCCCACTCGAGCCATCTCTCTCCATCCTTGGAAACCTTATAGTACATCATGCATGATTTTCTTGTTGGTTATTTTCCCTTTAAAGGAAAAGCTGTGTATTATCTCAGCTCGTTCAGCTGAATGACTGCCTTCCTCATCCTTACACCACCTGCACTGTTTAGGACAGAGCCTTTCCGTAGTGGGCACTCAAAAACACTCTTGACTTGAACTGGGTAATTCTCCAACCTCACAGAGTTTAGACTTACAGTTTGCTATTGTGGGTATCAATCTTGCTCTTTGTATTGACTCATGAAATGCTCATCTCATCCATCCTCCTGTTCTTAATCTGTAAAATAAGTGGCTGAATGAGTTGGTCTTCAGGCTTCTTTCCAGCCCAGATTCGTTCTGACTCAGTTCTGGACTGGAGCAGACACTTGTTGGAAAGGCTGCCCAGACATTGGCAGGCTGTGGGGGAGCCTCGTTACCTGGATGGTGCATTGCCCAGGTCACCGCGCTGACACCTGGCATGTCCCGGTTGGGCCACGGGGTGGCAGGGGTGCGGCCAGTGATGGCGTGTGCTGCCCTCCCCAGGTACGTGTGCATTGCCATGGAGGCTTTGGACCAGCTGCTCATGGCCTGCCACTGCCAGAGCATCAACCTCTTCGTGGAGAGCTTCCTCAAGATGGTGGCCAAGCTGCTGGAGTCGGAGAAGCCCAACCTGCAGATCCTTGGCACCAACTCGGTAAGGAGTGGCCCGGGGGATCCTGGACTCCCACCCGAATCCTGGGGGTTGGCAGGGGAAGGGGGGACCTCAGGGTTGGCATTGTCACATTCTGTTCCTGTTTAGTTCCCAACCCTAAGTGTGACACACTGCTTGTTTTGGGGTCTCCCTTTGTGTGAACAAAGAGCCCTTTCATTTTTTAAACAAATTATATAGATATATAATAAAATAATTTTTAAAAACAGAATTCACTACTTTCAAGCGTCCCATTTTAAAACTCAGTGGTGGCCGGGCACGGTGGCTCACACCTGTAATCCCAGCACTTTGGGAGGCCAAGGCCAGCACTTTGGGAGGCCAAGGGTTATATCACTTGAGGTCAGGAGTTCGAGAACAGCCTGGCCAACATGGCAAAACCCCGTCTATACTAAAAACACAGAAAAAAAAAAAAAAGCCTGGTGGTGTGGCACACACCTGTAATCCAATCCCAGCTACTTAGGAGGCTGAGGCAGGAAAATCACTTAAACCCAGGAAGCGGAGGTTGTGGTGAGCCGAGATTGCACCACTGCACTCTAACCTGGGCAACAGAGTGAGAAGCCATCTCAAAAAAAAAAAAAAGAAAAAAAAAACACAGTGGTTTTACTGTATTCATAAATTTGTGCAACCATTAACACCATCTAACGTGTTCAGCGTTAGACTGATGATCACCAAACTTTTTTACTGATAGAATTTTTTTCCCCTCAAATAATTTTAAGTGGGGTCCCCCAGTAGATATAAAAATCAATGGAAACAGAGGCATTCTTTGGAGGGCAGGAGGAGCCCAAGGTCCTCACCACTCAGCACTCTATGGGGGCATATCTTGAAAGCTGTCCAGGCTATGCCTCTTTCAAAGACAGAGTAAAGTGATGTCCCCAGGACAAAGCTACCAGATCAGTGGAAAGACCACAGGGAAGCAGGAAACAGGGCTTCTGGCTTAGTTCTGCCCTTCCCTTACTGTGAAGCGTCGAGCAGGTTACCTTTCATGGGCCTCAGTCTTTTCATCAATACCATGAGCAGGTTCAACTTGGTCTCTGTAAGTCCTTCAAGCTTTCTAACACTGGTGTCAGTGCAAGTGGTTGCAGTCATGGGAGAGTATGATTTAGAGAAGAGCTATCAGATAGGTCAAAAACTCCCAGTTTCATGTGTGCATCTAAACAAACTCCCATGCCCTGGTTGTCTTTAATTTCTTGCCATCTCTCCCTTCCTTTCCCTTCAGGACATACTTTAAGCTCCAGGTCTTCATGCAGCTTAGATGCAACTATTTTACAGGTCTTAAGTGAGGCCTTTATCTAGCTGCAGATATCACAAAACTTTAAGGTTTGCCCCTTAGCCTCCCAAGCTGAGTTTTTATTTTTTATTTATTTATTTATTTATTTTTGAGGCAGAGTCTTACTGTGTTGCCCAGGCTGGAGTGCAGTGGTGCGATCCCGGCTCACTGCAACCTCCGTCTCTGGGTTCAAGCAATCCTAGTGCCTCAGCCTCTTGAGTAGCTGGGACTACAGGTATGTACCATCACGCCCAGCTAATTTTTGTATTTTTAGTAGAGATGGGGTTTCACCATATTGGCCAGGCTGGTCTCAAACTCCTGACCTCATGATCCACCCACCTCAGCCTCCTAAAGTGCTGGGATTACAGGCATGAGCCACCATGCCCAGCCCCAAACCTGAATTTTTATTGCATGGGTCAGGGTTGCTTTCCTGTTCTACATAAGTTGATTTAACCAGAAGACAGTCTTCCAACTTTCCTTCTGAGGACCAAGAGTAGCAACCTATACAGATTCCCTTCTCTTTCCTATCCCTGGCAGCCAGCTGCCTTTGACACATTACACATATACTAGCTGAGGGGAAAGTCCTTTGTCAAGTTGCCCTGGCAACAGCTTCAGATACTGTTTTAGTTGTCCTGTTTAAGATAACCACAGCCTAAAAGGGAACATCTGAATGGAAAATGAACCAGCCATCACGCATCTGTGGGGGCCACAAGAAGCAGGTGGCTGCCAGCTCTAGCTTTCCGCGTAGCAAATCCTAGCCCAGAGCAGGTGTTTTGTCAGCTACTGCCTGGAAAATTCAGTGTCCTGCAGATTCCCCATCACAGTGAATCATCGCATCAGTCAGAGAGCAAGTTGACTCATGATTGCTGTACTGCAGACAACACAGATGATTTAAGAACAAGCTATTGTCAGTAAGTTAAGTCAAATATTTGCAGTAGCTCCAGAGGGCAGCTTGGAAGGCAGCCTTTCCCCTTGCCATCCCTGTCTGCTGCTCTTTCCAGCTCTCTGAGCCCAGACCTTCTTGAGCCTTCCTGAGAAGAGTGTCCTTTTGCTCCTCATCATTTTACACCTGCCAGCATGTCATTATCTGAGAGTCCAGCCCAGGAGTTCCAAACAGGTCTTCACATGGATTCAGAGCTTTGTGGGGGAAAGGGGGACCTGGGGGAAGAGGAATAGAAGTCTCTAGGCCCTTTACTGCTACTTCATCCAATAGCCAATAGCCAGCTCCTTTTCATTGTTTTGGGTTTTTCGGGTTTTTTTGAAGTGGAGCCTCACTCTGTTACCCAGGTTGGAGTGCACTGGCATGATCTTGGCTCACTGCAACCTCTGCCTCCCAAGTTCAAGCAATTCTCCTGCTTCAGCCACCACAGTAGCTGGGATTCAAGGTGTGTGCCACCATGCCCAGCTAATTTTTTTTTTTTTTTTTTTGAGACGGAGCCTTGCTCTGTTGCATAGGCTGGAATGCAGTGGTGCAATCTCGGCTCACTGCAACCTCTGCCTCCCAGGTTCAAGTGATTCTCCTGCCTCAGCTTCCCCAGTAGCTGGAATTATAGGCACCTGCTACCACACCTGGCTAACTTTTAGTAGAAATGGGGTTTCACCTTATTGGCTAGACTGGTCTCTAACTCCTGGCCTCAAGTGACCTGCCCAGCACTTTGGGAGGCCAAGGCAGGCAGATCACCTGAGGTCAGGAGTTTGAGACCAGCCTGGCTAACATGGTGAAACCCTGTTTCTACTAAAAACACAAAAAATTAGCCAGGCATGGTGGCTCTTTTCTGTAATCCTAGCTACTTGGGAGGCTGAGGCAGGAGAATTGCTTGAACCCAGGAGGCAGAGGCTGCCCAGGCCAGAGTGCAATGGTACAATCTTGGCAGGTGATCTGCCTGCCTTGGCCTCCCAAAGTGCTGGGATTACCGGTGTGAGCTACAGCGTCTTGCCCTAGTTAATTTATTTTTTGTAGAGACAGGGTTTTGCTGTGTTAGCTAGTCTGCTCTCCAGCTCCTGACCTCAAGGGATCCACCTGTCTTGGCCTCCCAAAGTGCTGAGATTACAGGTGTGAGCTACCACACCCAGCCCGTCCTTTTCATTGTTTGAATGGAAGTTTGCAGCATTTTATTTGGATAAAAGGTTTTGCTACCAGGAAATCAAAAGAAAGGGGAGGAGAGAAAGGAGAAAAGGAAAAGAAAGCAAAATGCATCAACTCATCTAACCCCTCGTTTTGTCAGATTTCTCAGTGTAGAGATGGGGCCCTGAGAAGTGAGATGATTTGTCTGTGCTCACATAGTTGGAGTGCTGGCTTTAGGCAGTGATTCTTTCAGCCCCTGTGCGTCTATCAATATTCTCCCTAGAATCTGAGGGGTGGCAAGGTCAGAAGCCCCTCACCGGCCCCACCGGATGTGAAGTCCTCCCCATAGATTCCAAAGCATGGCACGTGGCCTCTGTGCCGATGCTCCCATGACCAGGCTTAGTCTATCACAAGGCAGCCCCCCGGCCCTATGGGTGAAAGTCAAGAAAAAGCCTCACCCTGAGTCCACGCTGCCTCCCTGTAGCTTTCCCTTTAGACCTGGTTGTGCTTCCTGAACTGGTATAGCACAGATCTCCCCCCTGTAGAGTGTCTCTTCAGAAACCATACCCCCTTCAAGGTCCCCAACTCAGACCAGTGAGCTTTGGAAACCTACTGATTCCTAGGGCTCAATGAGACCCACATCTCTGGAGAGGAGACCTGGGAATCTGTGTATTTTTGCTTCCTACGTGATGCCATTTAGGTCTGGGAACCACTGACCCATGCTTGTCTTAAGCCTGTGTAGGATTCCTTCCCTTCCTTCCTTCTTTTATTCTTTCTTTCTCCTCTCCCTCTCCTCGTCCCTCCCTTGCTTCCTTCCCTGGGATAGATATTTATACAGGTTGTGCTTGATCATCCCAAGGATGCAGTTGTCGGAAGACTTGTCACAAAATCCAGATTTGCTAATACCACCCCTGCACTTTACATCATGCAGTAAAGTACAATTTTAAAAATTTAAGTGATGCTTTTTTTTTTTACTTTCTTCTCTCTCTCTTTTTTTTTTTTTTTTTTTGTTTTGGTCTCCCTCTCTTTCTTGTTTTTTTTTTTCTCACCACCACACCTGGCTAATTTTTGCATTTTTAGTAGACATGGGATTTCACCATATTGGCCAGGCCCTTCTCAAACTCCTGACCTCAGGTGATCTGCCCGCCCTGGCCTCCCAAAGTGCTGGATTACAGGTGTGAGCCACTGTGCCCAGCGAAAATTTAAGTGATGCTTTCCAGCCCTTAATGAGAATACCTGGGCTTTGGATCAAGAGGAGGGACTGGAAAACCAGGAGACAGTGGGGAGGCAGGGCCAGCTAAAACCCTTCCTTGCTCGGAGTTCACTTCTGCACATCTGCCTCGTTGCATGATGGGTCCAGATGCATGTCTTGGGGACAGTGTCAATCACCACATGTCCTGACTTTTTAAGGGCACTTACTAATGATAAACTAAAAATATTAAATGATCCTGAGATCCTCTACATAAACAATCTAACATATTGGCCTAGTGTATACACATAGTAAAATATTACGAAGATTCATACATTGAAAGTTTATACTTTCACTTCTATCTCACACCACACACAACAATTAACTCAAAATAGATCAAAGCCCTAAATGTAAGAGCTAAAACTATAAGACTCTTAGAAGAAACTATAAGGATAAGTCTTTAC